CATTGAACGGTTTTCAGTGCGTTTCAATGGGTTTTTAAAATTTCGTTTGACGATGTTTTCGCTCTACATTGATTTCGCTGGAATGAATTAACATCGTCAAGCGATGCATCTATGTATGTATGTATGTATGTATGTATGTATGTATGTATGTATGTATGTATGTATGTATGTATGTATGTATGTATGTATGTATGTATGTTGTGATATTACCATTCTTTCTGTTCAAAATCAAGTTGGTTGAACTGTCGGTGTGAATTATAGATGAGTTAACTTAGAAAACTGAAGGAACGAACCCAATTGGTTGCCATTGTCTCAGTGTAATTAATTCTTCCTTTGAATTGTTCACTAATGCTTGTTGATTTTTTCCCTCAAGGAACGCAAGTTATACATTTCCTCCACACTGGAAACTACGTCAAGCACACCAACTCTGTCACGCTCAAGTTCTATAAGTGGGGTTGATATGGCAGGCCTTCAGGCCTCCTTCATGTCCCAGGTATACTTCCATGTACCATTTGACCTCCTTTCCTAATTCTGGGCTGCTCTTTGGATCTTGGTGTCCTATGTATTGTTCTTACCATGTTAGTTGAGTCCAGTGGCACTTCCTTGCTCAGATAAGATCACATTTGCAGTAATTCTGTCAAGGAATGTGACGGTATAAGTAGCAAACACTGGCTGAAATCTTGTTGAGTCACTCCACACACTTCAAGGCCAATGACATCATCAACCACATGCATTAATCTTTTGTTTAAAGTTTCCTACCCACCCCTGAGTTCCAAGGCTCCCTAAGGATTCCTCTCAATTTGAGAGTCTTGGGTTGGGGGCAGGGGAGCCCTTCATGCCTGGAAATTGCTGTTGCAGGTGGTGATTTTTCAGATAAATTTTGATTAAATCAAACTAGATCTTAATTTACAGACCATCAATGTACTTTTACCAGTATCAGAAGACCAAATTTGGATTGTTTCAGATTAAATGTTGTGATTCCTTTCTGGAACATGAACGTTTCATGCCATTCAGATTTTTTTGCTGCTAATATTAGGAAAAGCATTCTTGTTTCATTTTTTTAGAATATCATTTTTTTCCATTCTTTCATATAAGGAGCTTAGGACAGTATATCTCTTTCCAAACAATTGAATTGTTGGGGGAAGCGGGTTGTACTCTTAACACATGTGGGGAACATGCAAAATTGAAGAAAGCTCCTGTGAAATAGTGATTGTTAGAACAGGGAGTCTAGAACAAGAAGATATAAACTGAAATCCCAACTTAGTTATGATGTTCACTATTAACTTGGAATTTCAGTTAACATCTTTTTGGTCTATCCATTGTACTCCACTGGCTTTCTTCCCTTTTTTTGCAACATACTGTACACTTAAGTAAAACTGAAACTTTGTCCAGTATGTTACGTTTTAAAAGATTGGTTGCCTCTTGACAGGCAACTGAATCTTGTCACTGTACTGCTTTGATATATTAAGTAAGCTGTTGTTTGTTATTAATGCATTGTATTCTTATTATGAGCAAGCTATAAAAATACAGGAAAATACTCAGCCGGTTCCCAATTCTGATATTGCACTTTGGACATAAGTCTGTATATATATATATGTCCAAAGTGACATATAGGCCTTATTGAATCAGTGGAACTTACAGATATATACAATCCAACAGATGTCTCCTTTGTTACTTAGAACTGATAAGGAAATGCTGTAAAAATATTGACAAATACATATGTCTGTCAAAGTGCTTCTAAAATGTCTTAAATGTCCTTTAAAGTAACTTTTGGAAATATTTAAGTGTTTCTTGTAATACTACAGTAAAAGTTATTTTGTGACTTCCAGTTGTTTTCCATGTTAGCCGGAAGTAACTAGTAACAATTAACCACATTATTTCTAACTAGTTATTTCTGAGCACTGAATCGAACTTTATTTTCTAGTCAAGTTTGCAAGTTATAACAGCAAAGTAGAATCATTGTGTCAGTGCAGTATATAAATTGAATCTTGAAAGTCTCCCATTTCATGGTTGTTATCTCATTTTACTTGCAGGATGATCCACATGATCATTCCTTTGGTTCAGTGTCTACAACTGGGAACAATCTGTATGATGCCATGAGAATGGGAGCTGGATCAAGTATCATTGAAAATTTACAGTCACAATTAAAATTACGGGATGGAGAGATTTCTCATCTACAGGTAACCTGAGCATTATGTCCAGTATTCCCTTTTGGGAAGAAACATTGAAGATACTGGTTGCCTCTGAGTACTACCTGAGCAAATATGATATTGATATTAGTATGAGACATGATTTATTTTAAAGCATCATTAAAATGCCCTGCATTGTAAGATAAAGCATCGTGCTTTGACATCTATTTTACAACTTGGAAAAAGAAATGAACAGCTATATAGGCTACTGTGGCTTCAATCCTATTCTTACCTTAGTAAGTCACATTTTGGATAGGCCTTATTGAATCAGTGATGAGTCAACTGCTCTGTAAATTCTGTTGATTCAAGCTATGCTAAACTAAGTTGCAACCAGAGTAGGCCCATTTGAGTCAATGGAACTAGGGAGGAATTCAGTCACCAGATCCTCCCGATTCAATGGGACTACTCCAAAATGTGACTTATTAAGAACAGAATTTTACAAAGTAGTGTTTCTTCCTATGCTAAGCATCAAGATTTTGGCCGAAGTGTATTTAATCATTAGTCAGTATTGTATCCTTACAGTCACATCTGTCAAGCAGGTAACTTCAGAAATTGCTTAGAATAACAGATAATAGAATTTCTTGTGACTTCCTGTGATATTTTGAGTTCAGGCATAGCTAAGAAAATGTAAGGGTGTGTGGATTTGGCTGTAGGCACTGGCACCAAATAGGTAAGCACCAAAACTTGCAGGGCTGACCAATAAAACCTAACTGCTGGTTAAATGGCTGCTGAGAATAATTGTAATGGCTGCTAATGTGAATACATATGGACATACAGAAACATAAACATGGAGAAGGTATTTATGTGTCCAGGGAGTAGGGGTGGAATATTTTGATAATTTGGAAGTTACCCATCCTCAGTTGTGACTGATTCATATAATCTGCAGCCTTGTGATACGAAATTTCAGAAGAAAAAAAACTGGTTCACATATTGGACATCTGGATTGCAATCAAACCAGTTTTAAGAAACCATGCAGAAATCTTTTAGAGGCAATTTGCATATTTCACAAATGAGAAAGGGAAAGGCTTTACAATGTGTCTTCTATCAGCTGAAAAGTATTGCATCATCATGCATCTTGAGAATTCATAAATGTTTCTACTTTCCAAACCTAAAGAGTTGCTGTACTATAATTTCAGTTAAAGAAAGGCCAAGACAGTGTGGTTTTTCTCCAAGTTAATCCTCTTTACCTGAACACTTCAGTTCTGGCAGTTTTTTATTCCGTGCTAAGAGTGCAGTAACCATGCAGAGTACACTAAAAATTAAACATGGGCTGTACTAATTTTACTTTATATAAACGAATTGTTTTGTTACTTTGCATATTTAAATGCCACTAACGAGAAACTCAAGGCTGCATGCATCAGGCAGCTGATGGAAAATAGCAATGATAATTTGGTAAGTAGACTTCAGAATCTGCAAAATATTTTTTTATTATAGCTGGAAATTGGAAACCTTGAAAGAACTCGATCAGCAATGGCAGAAGAACTGGTAAAATTAACAAATCAAAATGACGACTTGGAAGAAAAAGTAAAGGAGATACCCAAGCTACGTGCACAACTAAGGGTAGGTGGCTTTCATTATTGTTTATGAATTAAGGAGTTATGTAAATGTGTCCATTTAAAGTATAAAATACTTTAAGAGAATAAGGCTCCATGAATGCAGTAAGACTTCTGAGGAAACAATCACACACTTTTTCAAACCTAGGCATTTTACAATGCATCTGTGTTACAGAGCGTAATCATCATCCTCATCCTCAGTGGTTCCCATCGTCATTGGGGCTTTGGGAACAATATCAAGAAATTTCACGCAATATCATAAGTAACAACATCAGAGCTACGAAAAAACCCGCAATATTGGGAACAGCGTACATGCTGCACCGATAGTTAAAAGATACTTAGCTTTTTAGTTGAAACTTGTATATACCAGTCAATGTTTTTATAATTTTGATTGACTATGCCTCATATTTTTGAATAATAATATAGAAACCAGGCAAATACATCAACATAAACACGAATATAAACTAAGGAAATAAATAAAACTAAAAATGAAAGAATTGAGAAGTCCAGAGAAAAACATGTAGGGCAAAATCCTGATCCATAAATTTATGTCAGCGTAACCTTATCAAGCACCAGAAATATTTTATTAACATTTATGGAAAGTTCCTATGTCTCCCCTTTCAGGCTCTGAGGTTTCTTGAGAAGCCTGTTAGAGCCTCGGGACATGGACAGAGGGAAGCCTTTAATATTAAAAAAACGGCCACTTGGTATATGGTGACTTCATGAACTTAAAAAAAAGATTACAGCACAAATGCATGTGGTTTTTTTGTTATTGATAAAAGAGCAATGTCATAATTACTGGGTTGTGTTGCAGGATTTGGATCAGAGGTACAATACCATTCTCCAGATGTATGGTGAGAAAGCAGAAGAGGCAGAAGAATTGAGGTTGGACCTTGAAGATGTGAAAAATATGTACAAGACTCAGATTGATGAGCTTCTGAAACAAAGGCATAGTTAGTTCATTGTGGAATTGTAGCTTGAAAACCGTGTTGCATTAAACTGTAGAGATATTTATGTAAATTCAAACAACTTGTAAAGTATTTGTACTATAGAGGTGATTATATTCCAGTTCATATGTTGGCAAAAATCATTGTGTTTCTTGATGGGCCACTGGTCAGCAGTTAAATTATTTGTTAATATTTAAAATCTTATATCTGTACCTCAATGCTCATTAAAGGCAGGCATTACCATCTTGTGTCTGTATATTAGTATATATGTTGATTTGTATAATAATAACTGCAAATTCAGCAATAAGAAAATTTAATTCCAGCTGCTCATATAGATGTATCAGAATAATTCCATGACAATTGCTTAATTAATATATTTCTGGTGATTTGTTTCTTTCAAAGGGGTATTTGGAGGACAAAGATTCTGACTTTAAAACATACAGGCAGACAGTAGTGGCTTGTTTTGCTATTGAGTGGTGGGTTTAATGCCTTTACAACTTATGGGATATGTGTTCTTGTTAACCATATACGGTAGTCAATTATATTGTGGCTCAGAAAACTTAACATTTGCTTTTGCCTCCCCTGCCCCCAAGGTGGTGTACATTTTAATAGCAACCGGAATCTCTACTAATCAGTAGACATAGTATTCTGAGTTTTTTTAAAAGTGTCCTTAGATTCCTAGAGGATAATATACTGCCACTTAGTGGTGGGCTAAGATGCAACGTTACCAACTTTCGACTGTGGTGAAAGAAGTGATGCAGAGTTTCCCTAAAAAGCAACAGGTGGCAGGACAGGGACAACGTGGTGGGTTTAGAAACTGACATTCTGACATTTTTGCTTCTTTCTCTTGCCATGCTCCAGTTTTCTCAATGTGTATAAATGCACTTTACTTTCAAAAATGAATAAGCATGTTCCATGATCTCTATTAACTTTTGGAGTGATCTCTATTAACTTTTGGAAACAATCCTAGGAAGAGATTTTGCAGAATTGAGGGCCAATTCACTTTGAATAATATTATGTTTGTGTACTGGTTTCCTGGTTTATTTAGAAACCAAGATTTTACTAAATGAAGTATCCGTCATTAAACCAGCAGTTTTCACTTAAGAGCTTAGAGTTCCATGTACTCAAAACAGTCCTGCAGTATCATTTTTCTGGGATTGTACTAGAATGGGAAAGTACAGTGGTGCCTCGCTTAGCGACGTTAATCTGTTCCGGAAAAACGTTGCTAAGCGATTTCATCGCTAAGCGATTTTTAAAAGCCCACAGAAACGCATTAAAATGCGTTTAATGCGTTTCTTTGGGCTTAAAAACTTAACTTTCAGCGAAAATCCTCCATAGCGCTGCCATTTTTGCTGCCTCTTAAGCAAGGCAAAACAGCGGGTGGCCATTTTGTTTTTTCAGCAGCCATTTTGAAACAGCCGATCAGCTGGCTGAAAATGGGGCTTTGCGATGATCGCTTCCCCGTGATCATCGCAAAGCGAATTTTCCCCATAGGGACCATTGCTAAGCGATCGCTTTTGCGATGGCAAAAAGTCCATCGCTAAGCTATTTAGTCGCTCAACGGAGCGATCGCTAAGCGAGGCACCACTGTATGTGTAATGTAGAGGATTGCTGACCTTGTTAAAATCATTTTTACCTGAAGTAAGCCAGTGTGTCAGAGTGAAAGGTTTTTAGCATGCACGTGCTAGCTTTTGCTGAGCAGAATGTTCAGACTTTTTGAAATTTTACCTGGAAATCTTTCTTTACATACTTTGAAGTCTGTTTTAAAGAGGTTTGCATTAGCAATTTTGAATTTGATGTAAAATGAGGAGTGTACAATAGTGTCTGGCAGTAGCGTATACTCTTCATTTTCTAAAAAAAGAGACTGCACTAGTAAATACAATGTAAAATTCAAATCTGAATGCAGTTAAATATTCAGACTAGGATTTTTCTCAGAAAGAAATGCATATTACCTTAATTATAATCCTGTAGTCCAGTGGTCCCCAACCTTGGGCGTCCAGATGTTCTTGGACTAAAACTCCCAGAAGCCTTCACTACAACCTCTGCTGGCCAGGATTTCTGGGAGTTGAAGTCCAAGAACAGCTGGAGGCCCAAAGTTGAGGACCACTGCTGCAGTTAAAGCAAGTTTGCGCTTGTATTAGAAAATATAACTGGTAACTGGAACTTGGGTGTTTCCATTTTGAACAAAAATCCTTGTTTTTGATCCAGTAATGTTTCTCCAACTTTTACACAAGCTGTCTGCACGTATTATAAAAGCACTACAAATAATGTTTAGATTTTTTACCTTGTAGTGTAGGTTCGCACTTTCCAATTTTTCTTAGACTACAACACCCAGAAGCTTTAGTCACCAGAGTCTAGTTAAGCATTTTGGAGTACAATATACCTCGCCACCCATGTTTGGGAACCATTGCTTGTAGGCTATAGTTTCTCAAATAATGCTGACAGCTTGATAATGCAGTTCCTGTGCAGCCATTCATTAATTTACTAATTTCTGATCATCTGAGTTACTTTTAGAATGTCATGATTGTGGAATGTCTGAAAAGGCTCTCAGTACTGTATCTTTAAATTCATGTGCAGTTTTTAAAACTATGAGACAAAAACTATAGTTTGTACCCCATCTGCTATATATTGAAAACAAGTTTATCACTCCCTTGTCTGCATCACTTCCCTATGTGACTGTGTCACTTTTAGCACTGATACCATAACAAACAAACGACAAGATTTATTCTCTAGTAGACTGCAGGTGCTATTCCTTCCATTGGATAAAATATTGCTTCTTTTAGAAATGACATAGTTGTACTAATGGCGGTGAGCAAAAACCACTAAATTGGGTGTTAGAGAAGAAAAACTACATTTATTAAGACATTGTGCTGAGGGAAATGTTTATTCAAGAAAAAACTCTTTAAATAGCTATAAATACATACCTTGGCTTCTCAGTATGTTTTAGCTGGATACAGGTACAAACCAATTTGATCTTTAGTGAATCATGTTAAGAACTGCCAGTACCTGTTAGTTTTGTAAATCTTTACTGCAGCTGTGCTAACATGTTTTGCTCTCTTGTTGTCTTAAGAAATTTTACATTTTTACAAAGGGCTGTAAACTAGTTTAAATAAAATATGTATATTAATATGTTATGGAGATTAAGCTGTTGAAGTAATGTAAATAATTTAAACATCTTCAAATCTCGGTCTGAGTAAAATATTCAAGTTAATAATGTTTTATGCTTTTCTTAAATACAAAAATGTATTCTGGTTGACATTGGTAATAATAGATTGTAAACAAAGAGGCAAGACAAAATGTAAGCAGCCTCTCAAATATTTAATGCCTTTTCTTAAACTGAGTTTTTCCTTGATAAAGCTTGCTGTTGGAGCAGTTGAAAAGAAGATCTGACATTTCTTCAACAAGGCGTGCTTAGACAGGCTATTAGTCAACTCAGTTTTTCTCAGTTTGCCTTCTGTGTTAACTATGCATCTGCCCTTTCTCCCCTTAGGTTATTTCACTTAACCCAGTCTTCACACATCAAGAAATATAGAAATTGTATATATACAAAATTTCCCATTACCAGAGCAAAATACTCTGGCTACTGTACCACAAGCTTAAATGGAATGTGCTGCCAAGTGCCAGAGAATTAGTAACTCTTAACACTGTCTGCTTACAGTCTGTCTTCAAAACTTTGCTCCTTACCTTCCTCATTAGCCAATGATTTCATATCACTTGGTTTTATTGTCTACCTAAAAAAGCTTTTTTGACCAGTCACAAGATGTTGGCTTGTTTTTAGCTCAATGTCAAGTTTCTTCCTTTTAAGCTGTCAGAATGTGCTTCATAGTTCAAAAATATTAAATTATATTACCTAATGGTCCATCCTTTCACCAAGTTTTTGATCCTTTAGATGCTCCTACAAATGAATATACCAGGGCCTTAGAATGCTTTAGTACTTTGCTGAAGTTAGCACATGGGAAACATAGATTGAAGTGTTAAATTCAAATGCGTCATTGCTGTGTTGTGATAATTGCAAACGCTTTCATACTGGGGAAAACTCCCAGATTTGTGTTTTCCTGAGTGAACAAGAACAGGAAATCTATGTGGATTTGCTCTTTCCCCCATTTTAGGGAAATAGGAAGCAGTTATACACTGATTAGCTACAACATTAAAACCATTAACAAGTTAAGTGAATAGCATTAATTATATTGTTACAATAGCACTTGTCAAAGGGTGGGCTATATTAGGCAGCAAGTAAACAAACAGTTCTTGACTTTCATGTGTTGGAAGCAGGAAAGTGAAAAAATCTGAGTGACTTGGATAAGGAACAAAAAGTGCTGGCTAGACTACTGTGTCAGAGCATTCCCAAAACAGCAAGTCTTGTGGGGTGTTCCTTGTATGCAGTGGTTAGTACCTCCTAAAGTACTGCAAGGAAGGACAAACAGTGAACTGGCATCAGAGGTGCAGGTGCTCCAGTCTCATTGAGGAGTGAAGGCTAGCCTGTCTGGTCCAGTCACTGTAGCTCAAATTGCTGAAAAATGTAAATGCTGGTGATGATAGGTGTCAGAAGACACAGGGCATCACAGTTTGATGTGTTTGATGCTCCATGTCCACGACTGAAAGCACCTACAATGGCAATGTAAACATCAGAACTGGACCATGGAGTAATGGAAGAAGGTTGCTTGGTCTGATCAGTCATGCTGAATGCTGGGTGCATGTGTGTTGTTTACCTGGGGAAGAGAAGGCAGCCGGATGCACTGTGGGAAGAAGGCCTGCCAGTGGAGACAGTATTATGGTCTGGGCATTATTCTGCTGGGAAACCTTGGTCCTGGCATTCATGTGGATGTTACTTTGACATGTACTTCCTACCTAGATTGTTTGCAGACCACGCACATGCCTTCATGGCAGTGGTGTTGCCTGATGGCAGCAGCCTCTTTCAGCAGGACACCCTGCCACACTGCAAAAGTTATTCAGGAATGGTCTGAGGAACATTGAGTTCAAGGTGTTGCCTTGGCCTCCAAATTCCCCAGATCTCAATACAATTCAGCATCTGACGAATGTGCTGGAACACCAAATCCAATCCATGGAGGTCTCACCTTGCAACTTGCAGGACTTAAGGGATCTACTGCTAATGTCTTGGTGCCAGATACCACAAGGACATGTTCAGAGGTCTGGTGGAGTCCATGTCTCAACACATCAGAGCTGTTTTGGCAGCAAAAGGGGGACCTACATGATATTAGGCAAGTGGTTTTCATGCGGTATCTGATCA